CGGCCTCTGACCAGTAATGCCGCGTCGTCCGCGTGTGTGTGCAACTAACACAGTATGTTGTGGCCACCTTACCTCTAAGACTTTATTAAAGGTGAGTGATGTGGTGGGCAAGGGGACCTAGGTGGTCGATATGGTACGCGTGCAAGGGTGCGTCGTCTTTCTCAATGGGGTGCAGTAGTCCATCTTGTTTGCCACGCTTTCGATTATTGAGGATGCATGGGATGCAGTTATGGATATACCGCTCAAATTTTTCTTTCAGATTTGGGATAAAATATTCGTTGTTTAAAAGTTCTTGAGTGCGTATTACGGCGAAGTGGCCTCGTTCGTGAGCTGTTTTAATGACATTTGCCTGCATATCCTCAGGCACCACAAGTAAGTCAATGCCGTTGACGTTTTTGTACAGGAGATTGTTCTTAACGAGAAAGTTATCATACGAAGGCGCGTCGTTTGAAGGAGTGCTTTTAATAGCCGTAATATGCTCGTTGGTTTCTTGTGCTTTGCGAAATTGGAGAAGGACACTGTCTTGGATAGTCATGCAACATGGACTGCGACTGAGGGCATCCACGTGAGCCATCTTTGAGCCGATACTGTGCTCAATTTCGTAGTCAAAATCTTGGAGATATAAAACCCATCGGGCTATTCTCGAATTGAGTTCCTTTTTATTTAAAGTTTGCACAAAAGCGTTGCAGTCAGTGATAATTTTAAAATGTGAACCAAGGACGTAAATACGGAACTTTTTTAAAGCTTCAACAATTGCAAGGACTTCGAGTTCATAACTGGTGTATTTACGCTCGTTGTCCGATGTTTTCTTTGACATGTAGTAGACAGGGTGAAAGCTGTTATCGTTCATAGATTTTTGTAGTAGGACTGCCCCAAGCCATCAATGGATGCGTCGGTATGAATTTCGATAGGACTCTTTTGATTAAAAATACTTAAAACTGGTTGTTGAGAAAGCAAATATTTTAATCTGTGAAATGCGGCTTTCTGATCAGCATGAAATTGAAGAGGGGGTGTCCTTACGAAGGAGATCACTAAGGGGTTTTGCAATGCTAGAATATGAGGGGATGAATTTCCTAAAATATCCCGTGAGACCGAGAAAGCGTTGGACGTCTTTCGTACTCTTAGGTTCGGGGTAGTTAATTACAGATTTTGTTTTCGAAGGGGAAGGAAAAAGTTTACCACCTTCAACGATATGTCCAAGAAATTCGATTTTTTTTTTGTGAAGAAATTGACATTTACGAAAATTAACTTCTAGACCATATTCACTAGCAACTTTGAGTACTTGGTTCAGACGATGAATGGCCTCATTTTCATTTTTGGCGGGAATAACTACATCGTCCATGTAGGGTAAAACATAACCTTTGACAATTAAATCACGAAAAACATAATTTATAAAGCGCTGGAATACTGAAGGGCAATTTGAAAGACCAAATGGCATTCGAAGAAACTGGAATTGTCCGTTGTGAGTTACAAAAGCTGTATATGGTTTACTTTCGTCCGCTACTGGCACATGAAAAAAATCCGTTACGTAGGTCAAGAGTACTAAAAATTTGGGCGTCTTGCAGTTTATCCAAAATGTCATCAATAAGAGGAAGAGGAAAATGATCCTTAATTAAAAGTCGATTAAGTTTCCTATAATCGATGCAAACACGGGGTGTACCATCTTTTTTACGCACCACGAGAACTTGACTGGCATATGGAGATGAACAAGGTTCAATAATTTTAAGTTTCAACCATTCATTTATTTGTTTGTCAACAATTTCCCGTTCAACAAAAGGAAGACGTCTAGGAGGGTGAAAAATCGGTTTATCATCGGATAGAGTGATATTAAGTTTAATATCTGTCGTCTTTGTTTTATTTGGGACATAATACGAATTCAGCAAACGTTCTGCCGCAGCACGAGTTTCTTTGGAAACATTTGAACCAATATCAAAAGCTGGAACATCGTCATTTATTGCAAAAATGAAAGATTCAGGAGCAGTTTCAAAGCATTGCTCGGGAAGGTTTTGAAAAATATATACCGTCTGGTGTAATAGTTAATTTAGCATTTTTGTAATTACGTCACATCCTACAATAAGAGAAAATTGCATAGCATAGAATGATTTGGAACAACTCTAATATTAGCCGGAAAGTCCTGATTATCAATGTTGATAATGGTTTGAAAATAGCCAATAATAGGAATTTTCGAGAATCCAAAACCAGTTAACACTCCAGAATTATTTAAAAGTGGTAGGGAACCAAGTTGAATCCATGTGTTTTCGTTCAGTAATGTGACCTCACTTCCAATGTCAATTAATCCAGAAACTGTGCTATTGAGTATAACGAGTTTTACACATATTACCGTGAAATGTGTAATGTACCGTGAAATGTATCAGTTTTACACATATTACCGTGAAAGGTTTGTACTGTATTTACTTCGGCAGGTGGAGTGGAAGTCTCATTTGATGTAGTGGGCCGGCAATCCATAAATTTATGTCCAAAACGACAACAAGTTAGACACTTTGGGCCAAGAGAACGATTAGGACAGGACCGTGAGAGGTGTCCGACCTCATTGCAGTTAAAACAAGTTTGTGGTTTAGTTTTAGATGGACCAGTATTATTAAATTTCGTGTCGTGTTGTTGGTCTGAAATTTTTTCGTCCAGTACTACGTCTGGGGCCATTATTCGTATTTTTAAAATTTGATGGATGAGAGATATTTGTATGTCTAGTCGTAACTACAGATTCATAAGTGCGTAGCTTTTCCTTGAATTCAGAATATGATTTTGCACCGTAGAGAATAATTTTATCGGATGGGGTACCTAGTATTCCTTGAATGGTATACTGAATGACAGAAGCCTCGTCGATAACACCGTCACCACGATTCGCAATTTCGCGCATTGGCGATAAAATATTGCAAAGAGCTTTCATTCGAGCGCATTTTTCTTCTTTCGAGTTGTTTATGAATTTCAATAGACGTAATTTTATCGGAGAACTCATTAAGTAATACTGTTTTAAACATGTCGTATGAATTGAGATTCCGTTGTGAAAACAAAAAAGTTTTAGCAGTACCCACAACAAGTCGTTTCGCAAAAAACTAATTTTTGCTGGTCGGTAAGATTTGGGAATAATTGGAAATTATCCTCTATATCGTTGAAAAAAGCACGGACTGAATAGGAATCATTGCCTGAAAAGTTTCTGCAAGTGTTTGAAAGATCTCTCAAAATAAACCATAAGTCATGACTCATCTCGCGAATCTCGGTGTTCGCCGTCATATAAACACCGACTCGAATTCAAATTTATTACTTCCGCGTCAGAAGAAACAACGCAATTTGGGCTTGGCGCCATGGAGGTAGGAAGTAAGAAGGAGTCGCCCTAAACAAGTTTCTCCGTACCCTGCTCTGAAGCACCGGCGATCCTTACGTGGTGACCAAAACATTGGGTCATTTACCATTGAGTTCTATGGGATTTGACGCGTTCGGGTGTAAATATTTTGTAATTACGTCGCAAATATACATATAAATGTATATATTTTCTTTTTCTACAACACTTCAGAGTCCTAAGTATGTGAAAACAACATATTTTAAACAACATTTCATTCTGAACGGAATTAAATGCTATACTTTTCACAGGACAGTTTTTCTCAGAATGGTTTAATTTGAATGAAATATTTTCACAAGTTTTTGTTAATTACATTAGAAAAAAAAATTAAGGTAATTCGATTTTATTCGGTTAAGGTACAAAAATTAAGATCAAAGTTTATTGTATTATTAATATTAAAATTATGCATTATTTCTCTTCTATTTATAGAGCTTCTTCCTAAAATACTTTCTTAAATATGACATGATTTTTTTTGGCTTCTTTTAAATCGAAAAATGTAAGTCAATTTATAATTAATGCTCTATTCGGTTCATTTTAAATTAGAGAATTATTAGAAATTAGCGAAATACTTTAAATAGTACTTGACTTTCTGTGAACATTTCTGAAAGGGAATAAAATAAGTTTTTTTTTTTTTTTTTTTTTTTTTGTGGCCTGCTGCTAGGCATTCGTAAGGCTTATGGCTATAGGGCTTGTAAGCATGGCTCTTTTAAGAACAACTCCTGCTTTTGTTTCGTAAAATTGGAAGGAATATAATATATTGGAATTAAAATTTTAATAAGTTATTAAATTAATTAATAGAATCATTTCCAGTTATGTATCCTTAATTATTTGCATCCATTTTACATTTAAAAAAAGTGTTTTTTGCGCCATCTATGAAATAAATGAATAACTAAAACGGGTAAATTACATACTACCTCAGTACCAAGAAATCTTTACTTATCTTTGTTCTCTTAAAAAACTGTAGCGTAAGAAAAAGCGTTAAGCTCTGAAGAAATTATCAAAATTGTGTTTAATTAAATCTTTTATTCAATAAAACAAAAGCCTAAAAACCGTAATATGTCTTCAAATGGAAAGCCGTCTTTTATAAATTTGCATTTGAAACCTTATTTTCGTAGCTGTATTTAGCGGTACTCCTAAAATTTAATTAACGAAACTTTGAGTAATTTTGATTGAACAAGCATGCAATGCCTTACTAAATTATAATGCTTTACTAAATGTAATGCTTCACTAATTTACTAAATTACTTCTTATTTTACTAAATTGGCTATAAAATGCATTTTATTGATACTTTTCTACATACAGTTCCATACAAAATTGCACATTTTACATACCTTTTCTTAAATTTTAAAATGATCAAAATGTAGCGCAAATCACTTATCAATGGCTAACCATTCAAGATATAATTAATCGTACAATGGCTTTAAAATGTTCTTATAGCAAATCCCGGAAGTTTAAATTTCTTCATTTATCTCTGAATGGTAAATTTTGAAAGCAAAAAGAAACTTTTATTTACCTTTCTGTTACATAGTATAGTCTATTAGACTATTTTGTATATTTGTAGGTGATAGTTTGTAAACAGAATTGTTCAGACGATTGTGGTTTTGCATTTCTCATACATTAATGAAAAGAATATTTCTAACAGGTTTAATCCTGAAGAAAGAGCCAAGCGGGAGCAGTATACTTTCCTACCTTTCGGTGCTGGACCTAGGAATTGTGTGGGTATGAGGTTCGCTCTCATGGAGATTAAAGTTTGTCTTGCTGAAGTCTTGAGGAATTTCAGAATCAAGAGGTGTCCTCAGACGAAGGTGAGTTTTAGATGCTTCTTCTTCCATAGCATACATAGACCCATTTATATCTTATTTCAAAAATATTCTTCTCTAGAATTTCTGAGTTAAAATGTTTTACTTCTTTACCTTGTGTGTTTTTGCCTCTCCTAGTGATACCTTTTATGGCTATTCTTTTTGATTTACCTTGTCATGCTTAGAGAACATAATTAGTTTCCTTTTTTTGTGCAAGTCTCATATAACAGTTAAAAATAGTATATATTATAGTAGTTAAAATAGTATATAAATATATATTATAGTAGTTAAAATAGTATATAAATATATATTATAGTAGTTAAAATAGTATATAAATGCATATTATAGTAGTTAAAATAGTATATAAATATATGAAATAGTTATATATATTTAAATTAATGTAATTAGGAAAAACGGCATTCAACTTAATCTAGTTCACTCACTTAAATTTATTTGTTTTTATTGATCAATAAGTAAAATCATGGTAGTGTGGCAATCTAATGTTCGACCACTATAGTAGGTTTACTCCCATTTAAGGAAAATTATAGTTTTAGAAAATATTATTATTTGATGACTTCAGCTGTTTGACTTTTTCATAAATGAGGACTCATTTGTAAGGTTATTTAGAAAAATGTCCATTACCTTTCATATATATATGTATATATCACGTCTACAAAAGTTTTTATTCGGCCTTTATTTCGCAACCCGCAATATTTATTTCGCCCCGCGTATTATAGATGAGTGGGCGCTAGTTTCCACTAAATTATGGTTAACTTTAAATTCTAAACTTAAACAAATTGCTGTGTGCAGTAATATTTCCAAGAGTATGAATAAATTATACATACTCTATTTGACAGTTTCTTCCCCACAATCAGGGTTTCTATGGAAGGAATCATATACAGTCGATTCCGGTTAATCGGACCACATCGGGAAGCGATCGTTTTGGTCCTAATAACCGGCTGGTCCGATTACACGAACATGTCCTATGTTCGTTGTAAGACAGGACGTGATATATGTAGCAAACAGTAAATGTACATGTAAATCATGTACTAAAATGTAATTATCATTTTTATTGTGCGGTACACACATATGGCGAACATACATATACAAACAAGAACTACAGTCGAACTTTTTTCATTGAGAAAATTAATTTAGAAACGAATTCTAAGAAACGATCTCCACGATACTCCTCATGCGAAGCACAATAAAAACAAGTTCTTCTCAAGTTCCAGTCAACATTTGAAGAACTTATCCAATGTGATCTGACGCGTTCTCTTGACGGATTACACGTGAACGAAATCGCCACAAACATCTAATGCTGCAATGGGACTGCCTTCATTTCCCTCCTGTATGAAATATAGACGCAAAGTTTCAATGCATTTCCTCGCATCCTGTGTTATCACTTTGTCAGGACTTGTGTTTCTCTTGATTTGCTTTGGAAACATAAATGATCCTGAATAGGAACAGGGAGCTTGCTCAAGCTATGTTCAAGAAGGTGTGAAGTAGACAACACAAGCAGGAAGGGTATACGAAACCCTTTATTTTCAATCTTTTACAGGCATTTCCGAACTTCGGAATACAAAGACCAACCACTTGTGGTCTGAACGTAAGCATATAAAAACTACTAACTAAAACTCTAACTAGAAGCTAACTTTGAATTAGTATACAAATGCCTAGCACTAAGACTGGCCTTTATTTAAAAAGGTACGTATGTAGTACGCCGAGCTGCTGAAACTACGATACGTTTGCAAATATCAAGAGGGCTAATCCTCTGGCCTTCAAGGCAACCAGCAACCGAGTGAAAACTCGTAAAACTACACTGGCAAGCGGCTTGCTTCCTAAAACTCTTTCTCTCTCCCGCTTGGCAAAAAGCCACAACTTAAGTACTTGGGCGTTAGCAAGACAATTTGCATAAACAAGTTAAAGCATTTAATTCTGTCCGGAAGTAGAAAATAAGAAGTGATAGTACAGTTTTAAAATAAAATAAACGTTAGTAAAACTTAGGATGCTTACAACTTGCACCAACTTATTAGCGGTATCATCATCATCGCTTTCTTGGTCTTGCGATGCTGTCGTGCGTTTGCGGCCTGGGGGCTCTCGGGACAGAGTAAGGCTCGGTAGGGACCGCACTGGTACTGCCTTGTCTGCCCTTGCTCTGTGGGGTCGCAACATGGTATATTGTAAGTTCGGGGGTGCGGCAATTGATTCCGTTCCGACCTGAGGCTAGTCGGAAGCTGTTCTATCCGCCAGCGTCGCAACTCGAGTAACGATTGCAGCATCGTAATCTTCATTTTCATCGTAGCATTGAAGCTCGTTGTCGATGGATAAAAATTCTTCGCAATTTTGTACCTGTTCAAGTTCCATATGTCCGTCATCATTTTCACTTACAATGATCATGTCTACATCCATCTCCAAAACCAAGTGCTTAAAGCCAGAAACACAAACAGTTCTGATAAAAACAGTTCTGAATTGTCTCCTGCTCACTTTTCGCCAGCTGTCGGCCACAAATGTAACTGCTTGTAAGATGTTGACCTTTGCACTGACTTCGCTGGCTTTTGACGATGAGGTTAATAAACTTTCTCAGTTGCTTCAAGGATGTAATTAACCAACCTTGCACGATAAAGGGTCTTCAAACTTTTGATGATGCCTATGTCCATTGGCTGGACCAAAGCTGTGGTCCTGGGAGGTAGAAAATCCAGTTGGACGTTCATCAAGCAGTCTAAATGAGGATGTGCTGCACAATTGTCAAGAAGAAGAAGCACTTTTCTCGACTGACGTTGTAGCTCTCTGTCCCAATACTTCAGCCATTCTTTAAAAAGTTCAGAGATTATCCACGCATTTCTGTTCACACGATACACAACTGGTAAACTGTCCACCCTAAGTCCTTTAAAGCAGCGCGATTAGTGTTTTTTCTTATAACCAACAGCTTCCTCTTGTCCGTTCCTGACATGTTTGAGCAGCAAAAGACAGTTACGCGATCCAACGCTTTTTTGGAGCCAGAGAGTGCAACATGTTTGTAACTTAACGAGCCGTCAGGTGTAGCACGATAATACAGCTCAGTCTCATCAGCACTGTAGGTGTCATCTGCTGAAACATTTTCAAGAAGCTCGGGCAGTTTTGTTGATTTCCATTCTTCAGCATCTACACTATCAGCACTTTCTTTTTCGCCATGTGCTTTTTTGAATTTTATGTCATGTTCTAGATTTCCACCGAGACAACCAACCGTCCGTAGCTTCAAGAGTCATCGTGGCCTAGCGTTTTAGCGAAGTTCTTCTGCTTTTGCATTTTAACATTAGGCCTCTTACTCGCACAACTCGTCCAATAACAATGGCAAACCATTCATTAAGGGCCCCATCGACGTCTGGATCCTTGCTTTAACGCTTCCGTTTTTTGGAAGTTTCTCCTCGTCCTTAGCATTGTGTCCATTCGTCTCGCATCTCATTCGCTTGTTTTATCAAGCGCGACATTATAGTCTTTGCCAATCCGGTAATTTCCACCAACCGATGCTGACTAGAGTTTCGTGATTGTTGCTTGATCTTATCCAGGAAACCAATTTTTTCAGCTAAAATCAAGTCCTGTCTTGGCATTTTGGCAGAGGAGACAAGACACACGTACAGTTCACTTACTAAGTGGTCTGGAGCAACTTTGATGTTTCGAGGTCAAGATGTTGAGGACAAGAGGGAGATAAAATGCTCGCCATTCAAAGCTTTGGCACTGAAATCATCCCAAAAGGGTGGTGTAATGATGGCTTTCTCGTGTAAACTTTAATCATGATTGACAGGCGGGAATTCCTTTCAGGTGGAGCTGGGACACTCTATTGTTAATTTCCTGGAAAATCAGAGACGCAGTGGGACCAATAACCTCGCTGGCGGCTACTGGTGGCTCTGTTTTAATAAAGGTCAAAGAAAATGGTGCGCGTGTTCTGGTTTTGCTCTCGTCACGCACTTTAAGGAATTCCTGACCTTTGATGAAGCATTCTCCTGGAGAGCGCAGCTGCAGATCTTCCCATATGTCGCGGACCACCTGTACATCCGCTGTACGCGGCCGACTTGTGGTTTCTGTTTCTTATTCGCTCGCACGTTTTTTGGTCCGATTAAACGGAATTTTGGTCTAAATTAGTGAAGAATATTTGGCTTAAGTACACAGGATTTGTTTCGGTTCCTTAGGATTCGGTCCGAAAAAGCGGGTGGTCCAATTAACCGGATTCGACTGTATTTGGTTTGCCTGCAGATACTTCGGAACATTTGCTACTCTGAGAGTACACACACAGCATTGTTTTTGCGCTGTACGAACAAACATTCCTCATCTTCAATTATCATGCTTGCACTGTTTTATCTTGTTCTGTTGACGTTTTACCGAGTCGACAAAAAATTCTGTTATTGTAATTGTTCCAAAATGAGTTGATAGTCATTTCAAACTGTTTTACGCACCATGTAAACGAAAGCAATTTATTCTGCTTAAAAGCTAAATAAATTTTAGAGATATTAGAAAACACATCTTATGTCTTAAACAATATCAGTTAAATATTTTTTATGGTTTTTTTAAACGTTTCACAGACGTATGACTATATAAGTTCTAATGCAGTATTTTGCATTAGACGATTTTTGTTTTGCCCTTCTAATATGAATAGGGGTTTCTGGTAAAGAAGCTGTTATTGATGAGTTGTTTAAGCATGGCCGGTGCCGCACGCAGCTTCGGCTTTACTAGTAGTCAGAATTTAGGAACGATTTAAGAGAATGGATTGGTTGATAAAATAATGAATAACTTATTAACGATATATAAAACGTTCATCCTGTAAAACTGAGGGGAAGGTGGCTTAAGGCTAGTATCGCTCACCGATTTATTTCAGACGAACAACTGTTATGACAATTTTTTTACCAGCTTTACCTCTGAAAGGAAACGCACGATCTTTTCCTTTCTTTCTCAAAAAATTGTAAGTTGTTTGTTTTCAACAACCAATCAGCTATCAGCATCGAGACCCCCGTCAGCAACCAACATTTGTATTA